TTATCAAAGATATGCTCGCAGAAATTCCGCGATATAGTGTGCGCGAGATAGCGGATGCCACTAACATACCCAGGACAACGGTACATAAGCATTTAATCAAGATGGGATATGTGAATCGATTCGAAGTTCCACACCGTCAAATTTTCATCACGACAATGCAAAACCGCATCTTACGTTGTTCGTAAGACAAAAATTATTGCAGTTTGATTGGGACGTTCTACCTCATCCTCTGTACTCCCCAGACATTGCTCCATCCGATTATTACTTGTTCTTCTCGTTAAAAAATTCTCTCCGTGAAAAACGGTTTAAATTCGTAAGCGAAATAAAAACGCACCTTGATCAATATTTTGCAAATAAGCCTCAACAATCTTGGAAAGACGGCATAATGAGACTTCTTGAAAGATGGAAGAAGGTAATAGAGCAGAACGGTTCATATATAACTCGATAAATCAACTTTAAACAACAAATATCGCGTAACCATTTCGCATCAGAAAAAAAGGAAAGAACTTATGGGACACCCTAATACTTGGATTTATCACGAAATTCAATTCCGGATGGCTCGTTCGTTTTTTATTGGACTTATCTGAAGAACTACAGCCGGGACTACGATTTTGGTTTCATCGCTTTGGGGTAATCATATGGGGAATTGTACGATTTCAAAAATATCGTAAAATTCAAATGATCTAACATTAAATTACTTTTCTTTTCAAATTTCCCGCTACATGTCTCGTTAAGCCCCAAACGGCGTGGAGTCCTGGAAAGAGGAAAAAAACAGATTCGAATTACTCGAAAATCAATAACTCAAAATAAATGATATTACTTTGACATTTCTTGTAATAATTCTGTGCGTCCGATCCATGCCGTAAATTGCCATGATTTTGGCTAGTTATGATTTTCGCGAAAATGGCCCTTTCGCGGGTATAAAAACAGTATCACCACATAGCGGTAGCCGACCAAACCAAAATAATCATTTCAAAAGAATTTAACATATAGTATATTGGTGTAAATGATCTAGCACAGGACATAGAAAGGTATAGAAAATTTCAAGATAATTTGCTGCATCCATATTAGCTCATAAAAGTCTATTTATTGTTGCCAATGTAACGATAATTGAATATTTATAGCTGCAAATGTGATTCTTGTCGTAAGGAGAATACGCGTATGAAAAAAAATATATAAAATCTATCAATTGAGAGATTGAGAAAGTAATTTCGGGCCACATAAATGTTCAGGATCCTGCATCTATATCGCGCAACAAAAGTTTATTTATATTGTAAATAACAAGAACACATGATGCTTGCCACTTCTTCCGTTAAAAACCGTATCAAAAACGGCACATATCATCTGCTGTTGAAAATGTCAGTATAGCCCCATTAGACCTACTGGCAAAATGCTCAAACCGTTCAACGATTTAGTTTCAGTTCCCTCCGCTAGATGACGACGCATTAAAATATCGAAACAGCGCCACTGGATCTTGTGGCAAAACTCTAAAACTTGTAGGCAATTTACCGAGGAACGATTTTTGATGGTAAAGTTGTGGTGGCGTCATCTATCATTGACGTAGAGAACATTGCGTCGGTAATGGCGCAAAATTTATGTTTCATTAGGTTTACCACAATAGCGCCATCTGTGACTGAATACTGAACCTTCGATATTATTACCGAATGAACTGTTTCAATATTATTACAGATCGGTATAACAGTTTTAACTTAAAATTTTTAAGGCAGAATTTAACCTTGACATTACCTGTTAGTAATTTTTTTTGTACAATCAAATATCTATTTAACGATCAAAAGAGTCGTAATAATTAATCATTAAAGCAATTACAATTGTAAAATCAACATCTATTTGAATTACTTCCCGTAATACATCAGTTAATCTCGAGATTAAATAATTCATTGCAATTTATTAACGAATATTTCAACTGGAAATGCAACATTGCGCAACTTTAGTTTGAAAAGATGACACATAGTGCTCTAAGCGGACAACCAACTCAACCACTTCTACCACTGACTTTACTTATATATGTAGTCGGCGCTCGTGACGTGACACGTACGCTTGCGCTACGCCTCGTGTAGCGGGAGGAAGATACCTGAACGGATATAGGTTAGCGTGTGTATTTTATCTGTCGATAAACCTTTGGACGCGTCCTTTTTCAAAATTCCCTTCAAACTCGAGCACGTTCATGTAAATTAAATTGTGCAATCATGGCGGTACGTGTACAATTTGAGAACAACAACGAAGTCGGAGTCTTCTCCAAATTGACAAATGCTTATTGCCTCGTAGCGATTGGTGGTTCCGAGAACTTCTACAGGTAACAATAGATAAGATAACTGCACGTTATTCTCTGTATATTTTATTTTTAACAGTGAAATATTCAAAACTGTTTACGAAACAGTTTCAAAACTGTTACTATAGTTCTCGCGTGTAACTTTTACAACCTCTGGCGTGCTTTGACGCGACGTGCAATGAAAACATTCGCGATTAATAAAATGCCTAACATTGTAATTACAGTGTGTTCGAGGCTGAATTAGCTGAAACGATTCCTGTCGTACACGCGTCGTTAGGAGGATGTCGGATTATAGGAAGATTGTGCGTTGGTAAGTAAAAATTAATTTCTTAAACAATTAACCGTGATAGGTTAGAAATTTAAAATAATTTGAATCGCATTAGGAAACAAGAATGGTCTTCTGGTGCCGAACACAACGACAGATACGGAGCTACAGCATGTACGGAATTCACTGCCAGATAATGTCAAAGTCCAGAGAGTAGAGGAGAGACTCTCTGCTCTCGGCAATGTCATCGCGTGTAACGATCATGTAGCTTTGGTACACCCTGATCTTGACAGAGTAAGTATTCATTGTCGATATGGATTAGATCGTATTCCTATTATGATGTTCCAAATTTTTGTTTATAGGAAACCGAAGAAATTTTAGCTGATACTTTGAAGGTAGAAGTATTCAGGCAAACTGTAGCAAGTAATGTTCTAGTGGGTTCTTATTCTGTGTTATCGAATCAGGGTGGCTTGGTACATCCAAAAACATCTATACAGGACCAAGATGAGTTATCGTCTTTGTTACAAGTACCGCTTGCCGTAAGATCATTTACTATAGCTATGTTACATAAAATATACGCAGCATGCAAAATATCTAGTTATTTTTTTACTGTACTAAACAGGCAGGAACAGTAAATAGAGGCAGCGACGTAATAGCTGCAGGAATGGTTGTAAACGATTGGGTTTCCTTCTGCGGAATGGATACAACGTCAACAGAACTGTCGGTTATCGAAAGTGTCTTTAAACTCAACGAAGCTGTCCCTTCTGCAATTACATCAACTATGCGAGCATCACTTATAGAAAGGTAAATGTATCAACAAATTTTGAATATGCTAATTTATTGATTGTAATGATAATCGACGTCTTTCTTTTTGTTCCAGTATGTCTTAAGTGAATTTAAACTTTCTGGGAGAACGTGGTCAGTTTGATGAACGGTAGAATGCACTGTGTACATAAATTGAATATTTATGTTATAGTAATTATACGAGAGAATGCTATATTGTAAGCAACATACCTACAGAAAGCACACATTCTTCATAATTCCAACAATAGACTGTTGTGGAATGTTTATACAAAACGTACCATTAAGTCCTACCTGATCACCGCCAAAACAATTTTTACTGTTCGATATGATTTCAAAGTAACACGAACGAAAAAACAGACATTCATAATTAACTACAAGAAACAATTACTTACCTTTTACCATTGCTAAAGGTGATTACATGGATTCCGATCGTATGTAGCAACATGTTGCAAGACATTACGTACGATTATCTGAATTTTAAAATATTCTAAGATTTTTAACGTATATGAAAAAAGAATGTACAATTTCTTTTTTATCGAAAGTTTCCTTTTCAAATGCACGAATTTATAAATATAACTGCATATAAAACGGAAATATTTTATTGAAATATATTTCAATTAATAATCTCTTTGAATATAAACATTTTTTGTGTCAAAAAAGTAAATCATTTCAATCCTGACTCTCTAGCTGCCTTACATAATAAATGAACTATTGTAAACAACATTGTGCGGACCAGCCTGCTAATTCAGTTTATTACAAATAAAAAAAGGGAGGGCAGCCTGGATTCTATAAATTTTGATTAACAAGACTAGAGTAATGGTAATTGTTCAGCATGTAACAACTCGGAAGCAGCAGCGGAATCTGCACACATAACTAATGTAATACCCGCTTGATAAGATGCAGGAATACGAATGTGAGTTGTACCAGTATTAGCATTACTAAGCTGAGTCATTGCTTCTCGTACCACATTTACAACTTGCCCTGAAAAATTATAATGTTAACACTCTTCGATAGCAGTTTAATACGAAAATTAAACCTACCGAGAACATTGAGCTTTCGCCAGTTCTGATTCATAGTGGCGAGCGGTGTTAAATCCGTATTAGCGTTCCAATGAGCCAGAACATCTGCTCTCCGTATAAGCAAAATGCTAGGACTCACAAGTTGGTGCCATACGTACTAAAAGAGAATTAAAATGCAATAGAATGTAAGTAACTAGGTTACCATGATTTAAACCAACCTGTTCGGGTAAACATTCTAACGGATTAGTTAAATATATTCCTGCCTGTCCAACACCAAATATCATTTGATGATGCCATGCATCTGGAATATCGCAGCCTTCTCCGCAATGTTGTAAATTCAACGTCGCGATGGGCGCAGCTCCTTTAAGAGAAATTTTACACTTGTAAAATAAAGATCAGTATATTTGATGATTGACTTTGTTAGTTGCATACCTCTCGAAATCCAGTAATGCAACCAGTGAGACAAGGAAACTTTTCTTTCCGGATAGAACGCAAAAAATTTCGTGATAACCGAACCGTTTGTACACGAAGCTATACCCCGTGCCAAGTCTCTGTGAGTCGACCCGGCCACCGAGCGACTGTATAAATATCTAGGTAAAGGTGAGCCTGGTTCTCTTTGTCTAGTGTTCACACCGGTTAGTAACGCTTCCAGCGAAAATGATACATTTAAAGCCAACTGTAAGAACGATTTTCGATTAGATATTTTATCACTAATACACATTGTCTCTCAAACCTTGTACCCACCAAAGCATTAATCAGAGAAGTAGCACCACACGCAGACGTTTCGATTTGGGTAACTTGTTTCACCGTAGCTTCCTTCTCGCTCCATAACATAACTTTTTCCACCGGTAAAAGTCCATCTAATCGTTCATTAGATAATTCGCTTTCCTGTGAAAGAAATATTTGTACAAAGTGCTACAGATTTTGTTTTAAATCATAATGTTAAGACATATTAACTAGATTCGAGTCGCCACTCTGATTGAATTCAGCCTGTTTGTTGAGCATCAGTTTCTTTGCCATTATACGATGATAGAGGGTTGAACTGAGATTCACTCTCCCAGAGTTTAAATTTTTGAATAATAGCTTCAAATAAGAGCTCTCTGAAATGGAAGCCATAGAAGATTCCGTCCACAGCTCCGATTCAGTGTCTCTGTTATCACCGGGTGAGATAAGATCTCCACTTGTATTGTGATATCCATATGATTCTCGTAACGGGCATCCTGTATTGCGATATAAACCGGCAGTGTCCCATTTTTCTACAAAATTATACATAAATATGCTTTTTGTGCAAAATATGCATTGCTCCAAACAATTAGGAAACTTTTCTTTCTTCGATATTTAAGTTTACATGTCAAATATTGCATTTCGTTAATAGTATTTTTACGTAATCTGTCCCAATTGTTTTTAGCAGTCTACCTTCGCATGTTAGACCAGAAATAATGTATACCGGTTGCGCCACTAGTACTTGGCATCCATGGTGAAGGATAACTTGGTTTCACGCTTGGTTCTGGCGTGGATTGGCTAGTTGATGAACATTGCTGAGGTTCTACATGATTCACGTTTTGCATGCTTTGTTTTAGATGTTGCGATGTAGATGCAATTCCTTGTCGAGATACGACTTTACCGCTACTTAAATCGTTTAATACTGGATCCTGCTCTACGTTGTCTAACGCTATATTCTGTATGTCTTCGTTTATAGAGGCCAAGTCGCTATCTCCTGTATCCTGTGCGAAAGATATTACTATGAGAAACGAATTGCGCTTTCATCAGGATCATTCAATACCTGCTCGCAAGAAGGCCCAGGATCAAAATCCATTTCTAAAAAGTCCATCTCTGGACTGGATCTACCACTATGAGATTGTCCATCCTCTTCGCCTTCTTCCAATTGTCCATGATTCGCCTCTCCTTTTTGAGCTAAGTGAACCACGTCGTCGTTCCCCTTATACGTGTAAATACAATAATCTTCCCCATCCGACATATCACCCTCATTTCCAGAACTGGAGTCTCTCCTCTCATTTTGCTCTCTTTGTGTGCTTTGCTACAGAAAAGAATTAAATAAGTAATCATACATAGACAAGTAAAATAAAATTTACCTTTTGTAATCCACTCGGCCCTGCTACTTCTCTGTTTCCATTAATATTAGCTCTTAAGAAACAGCATGTTCCTTGACTTGTAGAACCAACACTACCTCCTATATTATTTAATACACATTTAGAAACGTAGGACCTAGATGGCCAGGCGCTGTCCACTTCAGGACTAGAATCTGAACTGCATGATACTTTCGATGGACATTTTTCAATTCCAGATACATAATCTACGTTATTCTTCATGTCAATGTCCTCATTTGGTCTAGGTAGCAATATGTTTGGTGGAATTGTGGATGAAACGGATGCTGTGTTATTTAAATGTGAAATCGGATTTGATGTGGTGCCAGTGTTGTAAGAGACTGGTACAAAAGTGTGATTCGAATGTGAGTTACTTTGATTGGAAGATAAGTTTAAATGCATCTGAGGCTTAGGCAAATTTAAAGCGCTCGTGTTCATTATAGTCTTATGCTTCAATTGACTTGTGACAGTAGAATTTACAGTTTGAGGCTTGATACTATTGGTATTTAAAAATATGGAAGATACACTTGCGTTCACCATGTCCTGATTTGTATCTTGGTCCATAGAATTATTGAAACCAGATGTGGCAGCTTGCACAGATCTTGTACCATTAGCCAATGTGACTGAAGGCTTAGAAGACAGAAGGTTCTTGGCACTGTTCTCACCTAGCTTATTATTTAATTTTAGTTGATCTCCACATAGTCTACTTTCGATCGGTTGATTATTATTACTTTTCTTTAAATGTCCATCCACTTTTGTCTCCGCTTTGTTCTGATTATTGCTTGAACCTTCTTGAGAATTCATATTATCTGAAAAATGAAAGCATCAATTTATCTATATTAAAAACTGAACGAAAAATAATTATCAATGCAACTGACAATTCCTAATAAACGAATTAGCAAGAGACTATAATTAAGGAAACAGAATTCACTAGGTAAAAAAATGTGTTAGTAGGATTTACCTTAAAATTACTTTTCCGACGGTTTAATGATTAGGCGGTATTGAACATTAGTTGACTCTTAGACAAGCTTACGGTATAAATGAATCGAACGTGTCAGTCCTTGATTGTTAGGTTTACTGGGGAAATAAGACGTGTGTTATTTGGTTGTAAAAATGCGGCAGTGTCAAGTGTAAAGAACGAAAGGCCTCACTAACTTCGTCTCCCGTCCTCGTACGAGTTCCGGAAGTCAGCTGATTGTTAGAAACAAGTGTAACTATGCGAAGATTCGTTGCTTTGCGTATTTTTTTCAAATACATACATTCTATTCAGTCATTTCATAGCGATGGGGAACAATGTCGTACATCGCTTTCGTTAGAAACGAGCAGAAGTAACTTCGAAAGAAAATCGTCCTGACTTGTCTCTGCGCATTAGTTAGATGTTCTTAGACTTTCGATATTTACAAACTATTACCGCACAGGTTGCATACGGAATACGTCTATCATTTGCCTGAAAGAAAATGCTACAGTACGATTCCGATCGCATCTGTGTGTTCTATAGTTCTATATGCTAACAACTCATTGCTATCCCCTCTATCATTTTCTATCCTGCTTATTTCGTTAAAGGAGCAAGTGAAAAATAACGGTTCAGTTACACGATGAGAATATGGAAATTTACTTCATTCGGACGCCGCCTTTGGTGGGCACACGTAATAAATTCTTTGACAACTATATTATCCAATGCGATACAGATTTCCTCTCTAAAACTACAACAAAGTGTAAGCACATTAAAATATGGTGCTAATATTTGGTATTCAAAGCTAGAATCCTAGACAACTGAGAAATATTTATAATTATCACATCTAATATAAATGATTGAAAAATTGTTTTCCACGTATAAATAGTAGATAATGAAAAATATATGTTATTAACATCAATTAACTTTATTAACTGTTACATAGAAATACATAAACGTACCCTTAGTTCTCAACGTCGTGTGATATTACCTTTGGTTGCTTTGCGCTTAGAAGCCTACTATGTACAGAATATATATACACAATATACACACCGCGATAAGAACTCGTTGGCTGGCCTAGGGTGAAAGCTAATAACTGAGAATGTCAATTTTAAGTTAGACAGTTGTAATCTACAATACAAATAAAGAAAATATATAAATATTCAATAAAACATTCTATAGGAATAACGATAGATATATGAACAATTTACGTACATACTTTTAAAAATTTGCGGTAGAAGTTATTCAAACACTGATTCGGTCCAGAAGATGTTCTGTTAGTAATACAATACGAATCCTACCGCTGAAGATGAACGTATTATCTATAAAACATAGATAACGTTAAACGATTTAAAGGTTTGAGATTGTTAGTCCCTAGAATAACACGTTTTGTTGTTTTAGTTTAGTTCAAATTTAATGATTTTTTTGCCTCTGATTCTTTGTGAAATTATATTATAATTGCATTTGAAAGTGTATTAACCTATTAATATCTGCACTTATATATGTACACAGTTTCGTAGCAGTTTAAGACCAGTATTTTTACAAACTTTAAATTGATCAAATTGGAGAAGAGGAACTGTTTTCTTGCACATGAACGAACTAAATCTCATCAATTAACAATCGTTCATAATGGGCATTGTACACATTAACATGAGAAATGTGATCTTCGTTCTTTTGGCGATTCTACTGACTACTGTGAAACATGTTTCCATGGGTTATGGTAAATTCAATAGTCTTTAATGTTTTCCTAATTTCCTGACTTCTTGTATTTTCTCGTAATATTTTCTTCCTTGCAGAGAGCATGGTTAACAACATGATGAAGGAAGCAAATGTAAATTCTACACCAGCATACAGCAGTAAAAAGGTGATACAAAAGGTTATTTCACTGCTAGGAGTTTATTAAACATTTATTTAACAATTATGTTGTTTACAGGAGGAGATATCCAAACTGTGTCCAAGTGGTAGCCTGTGTTCAGAACTGAGCGGAGACTGTCTAAATTGTAATTTAAATCCAAACTGTGTGTATGGATCAATGTATACCGCAGAATGTACAGTCTTAGAACAGATTGATTGTGTCGTAAGCAAAATAATTATAATAATATAATATTTTTTATTTTTTCGGTAATAATTGACTTGATTACACTTTCAGGGTGATCAAACATTTCAAAAGAAGTACGTATGTCGATACTGTTATCAGACAGAACATTGGGAGCACCATTGTCAGCAGAAGAACTCTTGTAGTTCTGTAGCATCTCCTCGACAATACTATAGAACAAATTGTACAGTTAATAGCAACATTCTTTGTCTAGGAAGACGCAAATTTATGAAAAATTTATTGTGTAACTGGACTGTAGGGTATCGATGGTCTACTGCTTTAATTCTTAGCGTTACTTTAGGAGGTTTTGGAGCTGATCGGTATACTATAATTTCAAGATTTTTCAGTATCACCGCAAGGCAATTTCAAGTACTTCACTACTATTTTAATTAATATGCATTGCAGGTTCTATTTGGGTCACTGGCACCATGGAATTGGGAAACTGTTGAGTTTTGGGGGACTTGGTGTATGGACACTGATTGATGTTATTCTCATTTCCATAAGATATTTGGGTCCAGCAGATGGTTCATTATACATTTAACTAGTATTTAGTATAATATAAACTATATTCTTTACAAAAAAAGAATGAGAGTTTAATCGTTGATAGCACTGGTTAATCTTGTCCCAATTTAATGTGTAAAAATGAACGTTTCAGTCATTATGTCTAAAAGAACTGAATTGTAATGTGATATGTATATATAGATATATATGTTAAGTAATTCTCTTTCATAAATTAACATTTTTATTAATTCTAAACTATTACCTGATATGTACAATTTCTTACGTGTATAAGTACAGAGTTGCTAAAATATCTCTGACTTATATAATAAAATATTCTTAAATACATATTTATCTATTCGTAATTATGGCAACATTCCTATCTTTTCTCTGAAGAAGGTGCCACGAAATTACAGGTACAGTATTCTCTCCAAAAAGATGCGGGATCAGAATTGTAACCGACAGATTTGAGAATAGTTCGCTTTTACAGTTCTAGACACCTCGTGAGAGAGAGCGGGGACATAGAACGAAACTACCTGGAAAAGCAGCGGCCAGCATGCCGGTGTACATTACTATGAATACATTGTAATGCTAGAATAAAAACGATGACTTAACTTTTTTATTTCTAATTTTTTATACATGACAATTTTTTTAATATACTCTGATCAGATTTTTCCAATTAAAATAAGACCAAACACGACATGCTTTAGACCATATTTATTCATTATACGTAACATATTTTATTTGTGAAAAAAGCATTAGAAAAACCGATTCTTAACATATGAAATATTAAAGTCAACATAAAAAAAGATATGTATGTCGTTCGAAAGAAAATATTAGTGAATTTATGCTCTTCGGGCCCACGTTCGTCTGACATTCAGAGATGTAATGCCTCAATTCGATGCCATTTGGAGGACATGATGTTTGATGGAGAGTGTAAAGGAACAGTTTACTGTACTTGTCTACTCTATCAACTCTGTAATTTTAAGAGATATTGGAGTAAGGATGATCGAACATCGAGGAAGAACGACACCGTTCAGACGCGAGGTCCTCGAAACTCAGCGTCGATAGAGCGACGGATGGGTTGCAGATGTGGCAACAAAGGACAAGGGCTGGAACCGAAGCCACGTTTTCCTGTGAGGACAAGACTCGATCCGTCACTATTGTCCCAATAATCGTTGTTACGCCGTAACAACGGCAATATTCATAAGACAATGAAACAATTACCACAGTAAAGATCATTTGCCTCGATGGCTCTATTCAGTAAAATTCCACAAAAACATGAGACAATAGCCTATAGAAAACAGGTAAAAAGTCAGGTAAAGAGTCGCACTTGGTCATCCGCGGTCCGCCGACGCGACGCTCGCCCGAGCCCCGGGAAAACCTAGACTCGGTTATTTTTTCATAGCAAAAAATACTAATCGTTGATTGGTGCGTACTTTGGCTACCAAATTAGTATAAAAGGCGACTTAAAAAAAAAAAGATTGTACGGACACTACAATTTCATTCATTCACTACTAATCGATACCACAGTCTTGACCGTGCGCTCATTACGAGCGGTCGTGCAGGTAGCAGCTGCATAGCTGAAATTGCAAGTATATCTGAATTTCGGAGCTTCAAAAACAACTAAGTGAAGTTAGTCGGTCTACGATTTATNTAATAAAATATTCTTAAATACATATTTATCTATTCGTAATTATGGCAACATTCCTATCTTTTCTCTGAAGAAGGTGCCACGAAATTACAGGTACAGTATTCTCTCCAAAAAGATGCGGGATCAGAATTGTAACCGACAGATTTGAGAATAGTTCGCTTTTACAGTTCTAGACACCTCGTGAGAGAGAGCGGGGACATAGAACGAAACTACCTGGAAAAGCAGCGGCCAGCATGCCGGTGTACATTACTATGAATACATTGTAATGCTAGAATAAAAACGATGACTTAACTTTTTTATTTCTAATTTTTTATACATGACAATTTTTTTAATATACTCTGATCAGATTTTTCCAATTAAAATAAGACCAAACACGACATGCTTTAGACCATATTTATTCATTATACGTAACATATTTTATTTGTGAAAAAAGCATTAGAAAAACCGATTCTTAACATATGAAATATTAAAGTCAACATAAAAAAAGATATGTATGTCGTTCGAAAGAAAATATTAGTGAATTTATGCTCTTCGGGCCCACGTTCGTCTGACATTCAGAGATGTAATGCCTCAATTCGATGCCATTTGGAGGACATGATGTTTGATGGAGAGTGTAAAGGAACAGTTTACTGTACTTGTCTACTCTATCAACTCTGTAATTTTAAGAGATATTGGAGTAAGGATGATCGAACATCGAGGAAGAACGACACCGTTCAGACGCGAGGTCCTCGAAACTCAGCGTCGATAGAGCGACGGATGGGTTGCAGATGTGGCAACAAAGGACAAGGGCTGGAACCGAAGCCACGTTTTCCTGTGAGGACAAGACTCGATCCGTCACTATTGTCCCAATAATCGTTGTTACGCCGTAACAACGGCAATATTCATAAGACAATGAAACAATTACCACAGTAAAGATCATTTGCCTCGATGGCTCTATTCAGTAAAATTCCACAAAAACATGAGACAATAGCCTATAGAAAACAGGTAAAAAGTCAGGTAAAGAGTCGCACTTGGTCATCCGCGGTCCGCCGACGCGACGCTCGCCCGAGCCCCGGGAAAACCTAGACTCGGTTATTTTTTCATAGCAAAAAATACTAATCGTTGATTGGTGCGTACTTTGGCTACCAAATTAGTATAAAAGGCGACTTAAAAAAAAAAAGATTGTACGGACACTACAATTTCATTCATTCACTACTAATCGATACCACAGTCTTGACCGTGCGCTCATTACGAGCGGTCGTGCAGGTAGCAGCTGCATAGCTGAAATTGCAAGTATATCTGAATTTCGGAGCTTCAAAAACAACTAAGTGAAGTTAGTCGGTCTACGATTTATGGTGCACCCAAGCGCCCAATCCATCACAGAAAAAAAGCAACACAGCTGAAATTACGAATTCTCTAACATCGGAAAATCGGACAATAAGGTAACCAAACAATTTCAACAAACTCAACACAAAATAGGGAATAAAACAAATAACTTAAAGTCATGGGTCAATAAACACATAGCTAGAAGAGATGAGGAATTCAAGCCATATTCAATCAAAACAACAACCAGACTCTCACTTTCACTAACAAACTGGAGGGACACAGTAATTCTCAATCAAACAAATTCAGAAAACATAATAAAAATGTTGGTAGTGGCAAACATCTTGATAACAAATGAGGAATCCATAATCCCTTAGAGAAAATTCTAAAAATCAAATACACAATCTACCATAACACCACCAATGAACAAACCACCCCCTATCTACGTTCACAACCAAAACATCAACATCCCCAAATTCATAAGAAAAATCAAACAAATCTATTCCACATACATTTTTGCCAAAGTGGCAAACAACAAACATAAAATCCAGTCCAACCAAGAGGACAACTTCTTGAAATTCACGGAAGATTACAGGAAGGAAAATATACAGTTCCACTCCTGCTTTCTTCAAAATGAGAAAGCTACGACATTAATCCTGAAAGGACTCCCAAGCACGCAGCACAAGCAACTGTAACGGGAATCACCAGACAAGGTGTAAACAAGATAAATTTCCTCCCGGGAACCACATTAGCCTAAATAAACTCTATTAAACATATCTTCAATATTAAAATTTACTGGGAAAAATATGACTCCAAAAACTAATAACCCAGTGCTACAGATGTCAGGCACATGGACACTCCTCGACAAACTGTAACAAAAGCTTCAGATGCCTTAAATGTGGACAAAGTCATAATACGAAGACCTGCAAAAAAGCTGTAGACACTCAAGCCACCTGTGCCAATTGTCAGGGAGACCACCCAGCAAACTACAGCCAATGCCCAATCCTCCTAGCATTTCTAACACAAAAGCACATTACCCACAAATACGTACTCAAACCCTACTACAACAAAATCTCACACGAACTACCCTAAAATAAACCCAAAAAACCGTGAAAAACCAACCACACTATAGACAATACAACAACCAAACCAAATTTCAATTCAAATTAGCCATAATCCAAACATGACTTACGCACAAATCACCACAAAATGAAATTAGATTAAACACACAGATAATGTACTGTCGGGCCTTAAAAACCTAACCTCATCGGGAGAACTCGACATCATTTTAAACATAATTAACCTCATACAAATTCACTACATGCCTTGCACAAACAACCTAGACAAAGTCAAAGCCATTATATGTATATACATATCCAATTCTATTAATTTACTTTTTAGATTTGTACTATATATAGACTATCACTTCATAAACATTCCACTTGTTACAGAAACATGGCTCAAACAAACTGACTATCTTTACATTAAAAACTACAATTCCATTAGACATAAGAGGAACTCCAAAGGAGGAGGGATAACCATATTAATATGTAAAACAATACAATACGAAAACGTCGCACAACCAAACCTACTACCAAAGAAAAACCTACACTACCCTATTCAAATTAAAATAAAAACAAAACCTGACATAATAATGGGTACAGTAATGGGACCTACTCCTGCACACTTCCAGGCCGCAGTTTGATCCGTTAGCGAAGCTTGATATAGAAATTTTCTTTGCTCTGATTGGCTGACGATTCGTTGCTGAGGCAGGGTCCGTTGCGGATTGGATGCACCGTAAAATGGTGGGGATGTACGCCCCAGCTTAAAGAGTAAGAAAACCGTGCAGGAGTAGGTCCCATTTCTGTAGTTTATACTCACCCCTTAACAACGCTCTACAAACCCAAGACCTAAATTCCCTACTAAAAAGAAATGAAACAAATCTACTGGTTGGAGATCTAAATGCCAAGCACAGCCTCTGGAACAATGTAACCTATAATAGAAACGGAAACAAATGTATCGAAAACTTAAACACATACATAATTCACTCATTCACTTACACATACAGCAACCAAATGCCAGATCGTCAACAATAGACTTCTTCCCATGTACAACCCACTACTATACAGTAAACGAATTTCCATTTAATCATCTCCCAACTATTCTTGAAATAAATCTAAACATAAAAAAAGTCAACAGACAAACTAAACCCGCTACAAACTGGTAAAACTACAGACAACTATGTAACACATACACAATAAACCCTACCACTGGAACCACACAGGAAATAGGTACTCAAATTCAAAACTTAATGGAGAAGATAAACTCCTCCTACAAAAAAGCAACAAAGTGAAACTCAAACTCTCATCTAAAAAAGAAACAAAGCCAGACGCAAATACCAAAAGACCTTAAACCTCTACTATAAACTACCATGAAACATGACAACAGGAAAAATCAAAGAAGAAATAAAAAGAATATAAAATGAAATATGGACAAAGAAACTAAAAACCTTAAACACCAAAGATAACTTACTATGGAAAATATATAAACCAAAAATTCAAAAATGCCATCACCAATTGATCAAAGATTAATTGATGAACACAGACAAAATCTGTAACAGACGAACAAAAAGCGGAATTACTAGCAAACTACTTTAAATCAATACATGGCCAAGCACATAATCAAAAATCCACAATGCAACAAATGATAGAACTAGATACCCAAGAAAACTCAATTACAACTAATGAAAAACTAATATTGATCACCGAATCAAATCAAAAAGATAATTATCAAACTCAGTAATAAAACCCTGGGACAGGACCAAATCACAGTCCACAAATTAAAAAATCTACCAAAAACTCTCCCAACCAGCTATAAACTCATTAGCTTCCTAAGCATTCTAGGCAAAATACTCGAAATATTAATATACAAATCCCTAATAGACTATCTAAATCAAAATAATATACGAATCAATGAGCAATTCGGCTTTAGAGTTAGCACTCAACAATCCACCAACTGTTCAGAATAAGAGAATATAATAAAAACAGGTACACAGAAATGCTATTATTAGATCTTCAAAAAGTGTTTGACTCAGTATTGCATTAAGCATATATAAACTCAAACAATCGAGACTCTAACAAACATAATCAAAATTCTCCAGAATCATTTCAAAGACAGGTACATATCAGTTTTCATAAATGGCACGTACTCCACTCCCAACAAATACAAGCAAATGTACCACAAAGATCAATTCTAGCACAGATGACAGCAATCCTAGCCTCATCCTGGTAATCTAAACGAGCAACCATATACATGCGAGCCCATCTCCAAGACATCGTTAAATATTTCCAAGATTGGAAATTAAACCTAAATGAAGACAAAACTCAAGCCATAATCTTTCACAGAAAATGCATCACAAAACCAAAAAAAAATCAGAATCAACAACTACGATATCCCATGGTCAAATATAGTAAAATACTTAGGTATAATTCTAGACGCTAAACTCAACTGGGCCGAAACCATACAAGACAGAATAAAAAAAAACCATGCCAGTTATTAGACTCGTATACCCACTAATCAGTCGCATAAGTCCCATAACAACAAAAATTAAGAGAACACTATACCTCGTATGTGCCAAAACAATCCTCACCTCGGAGTCACAGCCTCCAAAACCCAAACAATGCAAGTAGTACAAAACAAATTCCACAGAATCATACCAAATAAATACAGACAAAGAAATTTACAAGACCTTCACAAACGGATAAATGTCCTTTCAGTGGAACAATACATTCTAAATTCCCTAAAAACCCTAAAAACCACCTACAAATACAATCACCCAAACCCATTAATTGCCAACATAGAGAAATATGACCCAAACAACATCTCAATGAAAACAAAAATAAAAACTACCAGACAAATCCTACTGTCACAAACCTAAAACACACACTATACTAATTCACCTAATCAATCTCTTCCCCTACAAATGTATAGGTTTTTGAAAGTTTTATTCTATTAGTCATACATGTAATGAACTAATTATAAAATTATGTTCACAGAAGCCAAATATTAACTAACCATTCAAGATAAATACAGGTAGAAGGTTATCACTAACCCAGGTACTGTATCAAACACAAAGAGAAACGGGAAAAAAAAATGTACGGACTTGACTATCAACGGTCGTTGAGATTGGTCTCCTTGCTCGCACCGAAAGTGACCATTTTGTGTTATTGTAGTTTATTACCAGTATTATTAATTTTTAGTGTCAAGTGTTATTATTAGTGATATTAATAATTAGTGATATATAAATTGTGGCAATTAATATCGTTATTAGTAATCGTTCTTTTTAATCGTTTTACACTCTAAATTACATACACATATCTTTACTATTAATATTATGGCACCAAGAAAAAAATATACGACATTAAACATGCAGCAACGCTTGGATGTCTTGAAGGATCTTCGAGAAACAGGATTGTCAACTAAACAAATTGGAAAGAAATATGGCGTTGGCATCAAAACAATCCATCGCATTCTAAGAGATGCTACAAAAATTGATGCGTTTGCAGATAAAAGTAAATGCGAACTTAAACGACGAAGAATAGTAAAGCCACAGTATGACGAAATAGATAAAGAATTATTGTCATGGTTCATACAAAGAAGAACACTTGGTGATCGTATAACCGATGCTCTTATATTAGAAAAGGCGACGGAATTAAAAGAAAATTTGCCGTCATGTTCGCGATTTAAAGTGAGTAGTGGCTGGTTATCAAAATTTAAAAAACGTCATGGCATACGCTTAGTAAAAATGTACGGGGAGAAAGCAAGTACTGATCAGGATGGGGCAGATGCTTTTATATATAATTTTAAAAAAATAATAGAGGAAGGAAATGCAAGTATGGAAAATATGTACAATGTGGACGAAAATGGACTTGTATGGAAGACTCTTCCAACGAAAACACTGGTTGGAGAAGAAGAAAAAAATCTTAGCGGACATAAAGCTAACATCACAGGAGAACAATGCCCCCCTGCACATGTTGCACAATTTTTATTAAATTGTGAGGAGGGAGGAAGAAGGAACGAAAACGAAGAAATGGAAGAACTTAAAGAAGAACCGCAAGATGAACCACAAGAAATGACTTTTGATAATAATGAAATTGTAAACAACGAATTACGTGTTCTCATCGAGGGAATAACATCTCATACTGCAACTGCACCGCCTTACGTAAAATGTCTCGCGCAGGGATTAAAATTATACTTCTTGAGCAAGGAATATCAGATAAGTACGTATTCATGCAATAATAAAAATTTGCAGTCAATTTAAATATGAATTGTTTTTCAAATTAATTTTTTTGTACATTATTTGTTACTAGGAAACAGAGGAAAACCATCGCCGTAAGCCACGATACTAAACAATTCCAATGATGATGCGCAACAAAACAATTGAATGTAGAATATAATTTTGCACTTATCTAATTATGCATAATATCAGTACAGCTTTTTAATGTACAGTTTTTATTAATACATGTATGACATTGTATTTTACTTATATAATCGCAGCGATAATAAAATAAAATGAATTATACATTAAGTATTAGGTAAATAAATGTAATCGAAATTATATCGTGTGTTTGATTTTACTGTAATCAGAAATATCTGTCCAAACTATATCATGTTTGGTCTCATTTTAATCAGAAATCTATGAGCAAAATGTTAAAAAAAAATCAGCATTAGAATGTTAAAATTAAAAAAGTTATATCATTATATTACGAGTTGTCTTCTGGGAATTCGAGTCAAAGGAGCCGCGGCGCGTGCCGCAGCACACGTGTTCACCGATTCCGTCGACCTTAGCATCGGCGTAGCGAGAAAATCGATAAATTACAGGGCCGTAGCAATAGCACCGCGTCATTATGGCATAGCACAAGATTTCGTCATTTAAAGAGAGAATATCGTATTCTATAAAATATAAGTTAATATAAATTTCGATCAATAATATAAAATCTCCGAAACGGCCAATTGCGGCCAATATACATATACTAAAAGTGTTTACATCAGTTTACTTATTCGAAATTCATAAATAAAAATACAGCGCCAATTAGTAGGTGGCAAAACGCTCAAACTATTAGCCAAATTACTGACAGTTAAATTTGGCTAATAGTTTGGGCGTTTTGCCACCAGAGCTCTCAGATACTTAACCGCTTCATGACTTTCTTCAAGGAACGTACGAGTGGCAGAATTACTCATCACAAATAGGATTGGATGATACCAATGGATTCCATTGGCAATTCATTGGAATCGTCCAATTCCATTTTTGAGGTCTCCTCACCGCCGCTTGGAGCAGATCCCGAACAAAATCTCTGACACCATTGGACATACTAGGCACCAATGAACAACACTGCTGGCTTTGAATGGAAATTCTAAGAATGGTCAGATACTTGAGAGCTCTGCCTGGAAATAAGCTTTACTTTTTTTCCGTAAGAGACATTACAATCGCCTACACATGCACAATACAGGGCCGCTAACCTAATTGTAGAATAATAAACACGATGTATTAAAAATGTTATACATAACTTTATTTATTTCCTTTTTGTGTACAATGTCAATACAACAATGTTTCTAAAATAATTTCACACTGCTTGAAGAAAAATATCACTATACATTATATAGGTCTGATTATCAAGGATTAAAAAACTTTCTTATTTCTTCTTGAATATTCTTTATATACTTGGATAAATGATTTAAGATCGGTACGCATAATGATATCTACTTTAAATAAATTTTAAAACACATTAACTACATATTAATTGTCAATACATCGTTTAAATTTCATGATTTTAATTTATGTATGGAACAGAAGACTTCAACTCGTCGAAATTTTTAAGATACATTATTATTAATTAAATATTTACTTTTCAGTATATAAATCTTTTTAACGAAAATATTTATGCAACATGAGCACTCTGTATTCTTATATCAATTTTTTACGAGAATTAACAAGAATGATGAAACACAATTACAAGTACATACTTTTTTATACATTTATACATTATGTATTTCATAAATTCAAAGTATTAATGAACACAAGAGTTGAGTGGAAAGTTTTGCCAGACTATGAATTTCAGAATGTAGCCAAACAATCTTACAATGAAGCAGAGTACTACATAGATTGCAAGTCTTGTTTACTGGCAAATATAAAGTTTTTAAAAATATGTACTCCCACTTGGTTTTATGTGTGCTCTAAGGTATCTTATAAAAAGTACAAATTATTAGTTATACCACTAAATGATTTAAGTACAAATGAAATATTTGTAAGCGAACTT